CATTGTATAAAGGGAGACTAGTATAGATCTATTTCAAGCTATTTAGCTTTATTTATCAGCACAAATACAACACATATGTAACAAAAAGGCAACAGTAAAAATATTGGGTTTCTGTCTGGATGGTCTCTTGTGACAAGCCGATGGACAGAGAATGGAAGTAGTGAACTTCCTCCCATATTTGGGTATATGGGAGGAAGTTCACTACTTCCATTCTCTGTCCATCGGCTCGCCACAAGAGACCATCCAGACAGAAACCCAATATTTTTACTGTTGCCTTTTTGTTACATATGTGTTGTATTTGTGCTGATAAATAAAGCTAAATAGCTTGAAATAGATCTATACTAGTCTCCCTTTATACAATGGGATAGATATATATATGCTTAAGATGAAACTAATTCGTGAAAGATGCATTTTCTTTAAAAGGCTACCCTATCTACCTTTTTATGCCGGAGATCAAGAAATCTGAAGGTACCTTAATATACGGTATACCATTTGATATTATACTCTCTGTTCTATACTGCTTGAATATTCTTAATACTGTTAATATGGTTTCAGTAAGGAAGTTATGATTTAAAGAGGTTAGTACTATATGTTGTGAAATGATATTCCTAGAATTTACAATGTATCTATTTATGAAGAACTCTGGATCTCCCATGCTTGGATTCCCGCAAAAAATGCATTCTTGGGAACAGAAAAAGGCCAAAACAAGCGCAGCTGCCTGAAAACGGCCCCCAAATTGGCCACTTATCAACCAAGGGAAGGAGCAAACAACAGGATCCCATCTAACCGAAGGTTTCATAGGCAATTAACAAAATGAGCTGTGTTCGTTTTCAAAAATATCACGGTGTTTTATGTAGCTGTTATCTGCATTTTTCTGTATCTAGATTCTATATCTTGACCAAAACATTATTTTAAGGAGAGGAAACAGTTCAAGCAATTATAAAGGAAAGCCACCGAATTTAATACTCATTTGGTGTAGACTTTTCTGGCAGGATATATGATGGTGCACTGAAAAGTTCCATCTTCTCAGATGCTCCCAATGAAAGAACTCCATTTCTCTTTTTGGTTCCTATTGAAATAAACTCATCATTTTTTTTCTTCAAACAGCGAAAAGATTGTCTTCTTTTCTTGAAGAGCATTTTCCATTTTTATTCCACCTTAGGCATTGAAAACTCCGCATTGATGCCCAACATTCCGAAAAGCCAATGCCTGCAGCTCCTAACGCGATGCCTCCTCCCCCTCCCCCCTCGGATCCTCCTTGGTTGCAGAATTCCTGGTGTCCCATTGATACGATTGCCCCATTTGGAGGAAGCTTTGGGCTTTCTGGACTGCAGCGCCGTCTTCCCTCTCCGCCCGCGGAACCCTGGGCAGAGCCGCCTCCTCTCCCGCGCGCTGCCCGGCGGCGAGGCGGGGGCGGCAACGGCCGGAGCGCCGCCCTTCCCGCCCTTCTCCGCCCTGCGTAGCGAGGAGACGCGCCGACGCCGAAGGAGGCCGGGGGGGCAGCCTCTGCGGGAGCCGCGCCGATCGCCCGCCGGCCGCTGCTTGCCGGAGGCCAGGTAGGGCAGGCAGGGTCGCGGGCGGGTCCGGGGGAGGAGAGCTGCAGCTGGCCGCGGCTTGGCTGCTCCGGGAGCCCGATGCTGGCTGGGCTGCGGGTCTGCTCCGGGACCTCCGCCACCCTTTCCTTCCTTCCAGGCGGCCGTCAAGGGGCTTCTTCCCGCCGCCCAGGGGAGCCAGCGAGCCGCGCGGGCGGAGGGCTATGTCGGCGCGGCCGCCGCTGGCCGAGAAGGCGCTGTCCGAGGGTTACGGCCGCCTGCGCTACCGGGACGCCTCGTTGCTCATCTGGCAGCAGCAGCAGCGGCAACTAGAGAGCCGCCCGCCCGCCACCTATCTGAGCCGCAGTCGCAGCGCCTGGTACGCCCAGTACGGCAACCAGGCCATCCTGGTACGCGACCGGAGCAAGCTGGAGGGCGCCCGCGACACCGGCCAGTCCCGCTTCTGCGCCCTGATGTGACCCGGCGTCTCTCCGGATGACCCTCGGCCCGGAACGCGGCCTCTGGAGCCAAGGAAACACCTGGAGTTCATTTGGACGACTCTTCATGCCTTTGGCCTCGGCTTCAAGTGGCCGGCTGTTCCACCGGCTGACGGCGTGCGGTAGCAGAAGCTCCTCCTGACCTATCACTTGAAGCCTTTGGAGGGGGCCGGTTCTGCTGTCCTGATGGAGTCAAGGCTATGGGTGAGCTGAGGGGAGGTCGGCTGCTGAAGGAAAGAGGGAGCCCATTGGGCAGCTCAGGTTCCTCCTCTATTTTACAAAGAGCCCCCTGAAGTGACTCCCAGCCCCCCCCCCCTTTGTGCCTGGATCTTTCCAGAAAGTTGGAAGAAAGAAGCCACCCTTCCCCATTCCCCAGAGGCCCTTCCTGACCTCCCTAATGGGATGGCTGAGACTGATGGGAGCTGTAGTCCACCCAGATTGGGTGAAGCAGAGATAGAAACTTAACCCACTTTCCTGCGGACCTGAGGCTGAAAGTTTCCTCTTGGACCACTAGGCCAATCAATTTGGGCCCAATCCTCTGCCCAAAGCCTTGCTCTGAAGTTTTTTTTGAACCCAGGACAAGCTGGGTGGTGTTGCTTCTGGGGGGAGGGGGGGTGACAAGCAGATTCTACACGACTTGGGGGAGGAGGCTCCCCTGGCTTCCTCCACTGGGCAGGATGGAGCTACTCCAGAGCCCCCTCCCCAGCTTCCTTCTGGGGTCCAGCATGGTGTTGATTCCGGGAGGCTCTGATGGAAGCCCTCCTCCCCCTTGTGCTTCTTGAACACTGGGCTGGCTTCTCTGCTGGGGGTGGGCAAAACCCACTTGCTGAAATCTGGCCTGGAGCCTGGGGAGGGAGGGTTGTTCACCCCAAGGCCTGCCAGGATCCCTCCAAGGGTTTCAGTAGCAACATCTCCTCCACATTCTTGGCTTTGGCCACAGTGTGCCCCATTGACCGAGCCCCGGGTTGCTGGTCCAAATCTCAAGCAGACTTTTGCCTAGCTCAGGACTGTGGCAAAGAAGCCAGCGGGCCTTCGATGCCGTGTTCATATTGACCAGCTGGGAGAAGCCGCAGAGAAAAGGAGACGCTTGACGGGGAGCTCTCGGTCCCATGAATTGAGGCAGGTGGCACCGGGAGGCCAAACTATTTTCTGGGTGACGTAATTGGCTGGGCTGTCCAGGAGCCCCTTTAAGCACCATTTCCATGTTCTGGGCGCATTTCCTTGGCACTGGCGCAGACACCATTATGATGCTCAGGGATCCTCAGCCTCTGCTCTGTGCCGTCACTGTACAGCTCCCTGCATCTGATGGGAGAATCAAGTTTGAATCCCTCCAGTTCTGGGAAGCAGCCCTTGCAAATATGGGCAGCCGGGCTTCTTTGGCCAACCTCAGCCACTGCTCTTCATGCGTATTTTACCGTTGGTACACAGTGGTCCGCCCTTTCCCCTTCCTTGTGTGATGCCAGCGAAGACCCCGAAGGAGCGAATTTTAAAAGTGCACCAGACAACATTAAGTATGTTTCCTTTTAAATTGCATCAATCAATAAAGTCTAACTCGGCAAACACTTCTGCTCCCAGGGCTGTTATGGTGTCAAGTACAGAAGTGGCATCTGCTCTGAAATGGGTCTTTGTTGCTTTATTTTTTTTCCCAAACTGTTCTACTTTAAAACAAGATACAGAGAAAAAGACGGACATGGGAGAAGACTAGGAATATACAAATAAAACATGCTTTATCTGGAAGTTACCAATACCTGTAAGTCCAAAGTCTATACAAAAAGAAACCCAAAGAATCCCAAACAATCCCATTCCCCCAAACTGAATCCACATACAAGGAATAAGCACCAGAACAGGAAACTATCAAAGGTCCATAGCACCTGTTGGTTAAAAAGTCAAAATACATTTAAATTAAAAGGATTCCCAATTTTCTTTGTCAGAGCTTAGTTTTAAAAACAACACAAACCTACATTTTGTCTGCTGCTGCTCTTCAAAACGCAGGATACATTTTTTTTAAGTGACCACTGGAGTTAATAAATAAAGTATTTCTATGTACATGAAAAAGGGTAACTCGATTCCGGGTGCGTCGTGGGCAGAGTGCAGGTCTCCAGGGCAGGCTGGAGGGAAAAAAAAGCTTCTAAAAAAGGGATGAACCTTACAAAAACATCGCTTGCCCACCCCTCCCCTTCCCCAAAGCATATTCTCCCACCATGCCTTGAGGTAAAAGTTTTGATTATTTGGAAACCTGCACTCGCACGACACACACCTTCTGGCAAGGGGGAAGCCCATACTGCAGTTTGGCTGGGGCCACTGCCTCGGGGTGCCTGCTCTCTGGGGTCGCCTCGCCATGGATCTGGCAACCCCTTCGCTCTCAGAGAAGCTGCCCGATGCCAGGATCAGAATGGAAGCCCAGGTCCCACTGGGTATTGGGAGACCCCGAGCAACGGGGCTTAACAGGCTCCCTCTGCCCAAAGGCCCAGGCCTGCCCACCCCCCCGAGGGGCAACGCCATCCTGCACAGGCAGACACGCAACCTTGCCAAGGGGGGTTGGGCAACCCCTTGCTGGGCCCAGGCTGCACCCACTGCCCTCAACAGGCGGCCACCTCTGGAGAAGTTTTTGCAACCGGAACATGAATCTATATATTGATTAAAAAAAGGTAAAAGAAATATCTAAAAAGGTACGCTTTAAAAAACAATCCACAGTACATGAGCTTTTTCCCTCTTATCTATAAAAAAAGATTAGGATCTTCATCTCAATGGAGGGGGGGGGGAAGCTGCTGCCAGGCTGGAGGGGGGGGGCGGCAGACCAGCAGAAGATTAGAACATTCACGCCGGCCGGCCGGCCTTAAGAGCTCTGGCCCCTCCCACTGCAGTACCATTCACCGAGGTGCAACCCCCACATCTCCCCCCCCTGCCTTCAAAGAGGACTGTCCCTCTGGCCTGGCCAAGGGAGCCCCCAGGAAGGGCAGAGTTGCTCCCCCACCGGGCTTCGGCCACAGCGGGAGGGGGCCACAGTGTCTCTGTTGAGTCCTCCTTCAGCATTTCAGCATCTCGGGTTTAAAAAGGGGGGGGGGTTTAGAGACGTTAAGAGAGGCAAATTCTTTTGCCTCTGAGTCTAGTCAGGCGTTTGACCTAATAAAAGCAGGAGGAGGAAACCCTTCAGAGGAGTCCTTCAAAATGGCTGCAAAAGACTGGAGGACGCAGACTTGGTCACGATGGAAGAGAGGAACCGCTGAAAAGACACAGCCGGGGAATGAGATGCCAGTCCGGACAGGCGCTCGGCCCCCCCTGCTCATTCGGAGTCGCTGCTGTCCGAGCTGGAGCCGCTGGAGCTGGAGCTCCCTGACTCGGAGCTGCTGCTGCTGCTCAGGTGAGACGGACCGCCGGATGGCGCCGAGGAGCCCGATTTGTCTAGCCAGAAAAGGAGCAGAAACGAGTGGTCAGCTGAGCTCAGCTTTGGCAGGGCAGCTCCCTCCCCAGCCTCCCTACCTCCCCTCGCGGGTCTCCCTGCCTTCCTTTGGGCAGCATCCCCCTGCTTCGGCTCTCAGCCCCTGCAGGAAGCAGCCCAGGAGTCTGGCCTTGGGTGGGGGGGGGGAGGGGGTCCTGCTTGATAGCAACAGCCCTTAGACTTATAGTTGGGCCTAAATGGCAGGTAAAACCAGCCCTGCCCCATGGCGAACACAATAGGCTGGGATTGAGGTGGGGAGGTTGTTTCCACAGTGTAGCTCATAGGTCCAGAGAGAGTCCAAGTGGAACAGCCAGGATGCAGCTGAGGCTGAGAGGGAATTGGGAGGTGGACCACGGGGGAGCAGCCACAGGAAGAAGGCAGCCAATTTCCCAATGGAGCCGGGAGGGGGGGGGAGGTTTTGGCCCAAAATGTCCATTCAGAGCGTCTGAGGGACAGCCCCTCCCTAGATGAGGATCCTTGCATCTCCCCCTCCCTTTACTGGCCCTGAGCCTCTCCCTGGGGACCCCTCAGGTGGGACCCCCTGTCTCCCCACCCCCACCTCCACTGTGAAGGGCAGACGGAAGGGCTGGGGGCTCTGCTTGTGGCCCTCTTTGACCTCTCTGTCCCCATGCCAAGGGAAGCATCCTGGTGCTCTGGCTGTCAATACCCGGGCCATGTGGCTCTTTAGGGCACTGCCAGGCAGCCAAGATTGCCTAGTGTGGCTGGACACGGAAGGGCTGCTTTGCCCTCTTTGGAGACCCCCCCCCCCCGAGACCCCAGGTAGGTCGAGCCAAGGGACTTTGGCCTTGGTGGGCACTGCTGAGTGCTCCCCTGCAAGGGATGGGTGGAATGGAAGCCTAAAAGAATGAATAAAACCTCCATCGTGAAGCAGCAGGAGCCACCTGGGGCCCTTCTGCCTCTAGAGGGAGCCGGTTGGAAAGCCCTGCTGCAGATTGCACAGCACGGGCCCTCCCGGGAAGGGGCCTGGGGGCCGCAGCCTGCTGAGGCAGAGGTGGGGAGGGAGGCGGCCTCTGCTCACCTTTCCTGGCCGGCTTCTTGTTGTTGCTCAGCTGCCCACTGACATCCTGCAGGCGCTTCTCCAGCTCCTTCTTCTTCTCCTGGGCCATCTCCTCCTTTGACTTGGCCGCCTGCTTCTTCCCACTTGCGGCTGTGGGGAGGAAGCGGAAGGGCTCAGGGGGGGGGGGGGTCGGGGCCCCCACCTTCCCAGGAGGCAAGAACCAGCAGAAACGAAAGGCCAGTGCCCATTGCAGGCCTTGGACGGAAGGCGATTCTGGACAGTGGTCCAGATGTCCAGGGCGGGGCAGCTGCCCTCTGAGACCAGGCCAGGGCCACGAGGGGGACAGGCAGGCTCGTAAGTGGGGGACCACAAAGGGCAGGGGGGCAGCTCTGAGCCCCAGGATTGTATTGAGCAGGGCAAGGTGAGGCTCACCAAGCCACAGGGGCTCCCTCAGGCCCTGCAGCAGAGGGGATGGGGCCTTGCAGGGGGCCCAGCCTGAGCAGCCAGAAGGAAATAGCAATAGCAATAGCAGTAGACTTATATACCGCTTCATAGGGCTTTCAGCCCTCTCTAAGCGGTTTACAGAGAGTCAGCATATTGCCCCCAACAATCTGGATCCTCATTTTACCCACCTCGGAAGGATGGAAGGCTGAGTCAACCCTGAGCCGGTGAGATTTGAACCGCTGAACTGCTGATCTAGCAGTAGCCTGCAGTGCTGCATTTAACCACTGCGCCACCTTGGCTCTAATGAGGAATGGCTGGGGCCAGATCCCCTCTCCTCCCACGGGAGCTCATGGGAGGGAAGAGGCCTGCAGTACCCTCCCCTCCACGAAGGAATACAAATGACAAGACAGACAGACGCACACACACACACACACACACACAACCCATCCAGTAAAAAAGGGAAGCCCCCCCCCTCTTCCTTTATGATTTGCCCCTCCTGGAAAACAATGTTCCTAACATCTGATGCGGCAGCTGCTCCCTCCTCTCTTCTTCCACGCCCACCACGGAGAGGCTCCTTCCTTCTCCTCAAAAGGGTCCTGGCCCCCCAGCCTCAGCCCCCCTTCAGCCTCCATGCCCAGGGGGATCCCGGATGCAGGGAAAGCGAATGCAAAGGCAGCCAGGGCTGAATTACAATATAGGTTGTACAAACCCAGAATGGATGGCTGGTTGCTGAGCATGATAACAGAACAGTGATGTGTGAAGGCAACAAAGTGTGTACCAGTATTCCTATTGTTGTACACACTTCAAAACTTCCTGTACATGCTTAGCCAGCAGAGAGAAAGGCCACAGCCCCAGGGGGTCTCCTTCACGGTTACAAACCAATTTGCTGCTAACTGACCAGGGATGCTTGTGGTCATTTCAGTCTTAGGTGTGGACGTCAGCTGCCCTGGCATACTCTTCTTCTGGACCTTGCCCCATTTGGGGGGGGGGGGTGTTGTCCCAGAATAGCCCTTCATTCCCCCTTTCTCTTTGGAGTCCTCTTTCAGGGTGGAAGGAAAATAGTGGGCCAGAATCCCACTTGGCTCTTGGCTGCTTCCTGGGCCTTTGGGGGCGGCCACGACAGCTGGCCCTGCAAAGGCTGGAGGGATGTCCGGCCCCATCCCTGGCGCCAGCTCTCTCCTACAGACGACTCCGGTCAGACCGGCTTTGCAAAGGGGGAGGCCGTCTGCCTCCAGTCTGCTCAGCCTCCCTTCCGCCCTTCGAGGAGGCCTCATCCTGCCCTCTTCCTCTTCCGTGGCCCCCTGGAAGCGGCTCCTGAGCTCTGGCACTGCCAAATCTCTTTTCTGGCTCCAGGGCTGGGCTGGTTTGCTTAAGGTTTTCCTCCTGGAGAAAGACTGGAGTGGCCTCAAGTTCCTGCTGCAGCCCTTTCCTTCTTTCATCCAGAAACCTTTGCATTTTCTTCCCGGGCCGGTTCCCTATGAGGGTCCTCTGGGCTCCTCGGCTTCCTTCCCAAGCGACGGCCTCAGCTGGCCCTCGCCTTGCTGCAAACAGGGACAGCTCCAGCCCACAAGCCCTGCAGGCCACGGACACAGAGCACCACGGCCGTCTTCATGCTCCAAGAGAAACGGTTGCATCTCCTGCGGCTGACATTTCAGGCGCTGAAGCCTCCTGCCAAACCTACAGGGTTCTGCTACAGGGAATGTTTCTTTAAGGGCTCCTGCTGAATCCCAGGCAAAGGCCAGGACCTTCCTGGTCTTCAGAAAAAGAGGCCTTTATCTCTAGTTTAATCGTGGGAGGAGGAGCAATCTGGTGTGAGGGAGAGACCTGGGTGGGGAGGGGGGAAGACGGTGACTAGGAAACAACCAGAGAAGGAGGTGGGGGGAGCCCACAGCTACACAGCGGACAGAGAATGAAGCTTAGAAAGGATTCTGCCTAATTATCAGGATGTAAAAGGAGACAGCGGGTAACTTGCACTTTCAGACTCCCAAGGCTCCCTTAAGGCAGCCTTACACTGAAGCAGAATCTGCTCAGCTGCTGACGTTCCCCATCTCGTCTACCTGAGAAGACACCCAGCACCGAAAGGAAATTGGGGGGGGGGGCTCCAGGGCGGCTGAGATCAGGAAGGCTGCCTTTGCCTTCTTCGCAAGACCCTTCCCTTCAGTGGGGCAGCAGCAAGGAACACGGGGGAGAGGGAAATGGGGGTCAAAAGTACATCATTCCCCCCATCCCCTCTGCTTTCACAAAGGACCCTCCCCCTGGGCCAGGGAAGGGACCAAAGCCCCCTCAGCAGAGGGGAGACCACAGGAGGGCTCCAAAGGTTGGGGCTGCCTGGGGCTGCCTGTGGAGGCAGGAGAGTCATCTGAAGGCGGAGAGCAGAGGGGTTTTCACATTTCCAAGCAGACGGGGAGGGGGGGATACAGGTGGAATGGAGGGGGGGGGAGAGCTCAGCATGGATTAGACAGCCCCCCTCCAAGCTCCTGCAGCCCCCCCCACTCCACCCATCGATTCCAGGGTCTAGGGGAATCCCACTTACAAAATGGTTTCCGCTGCTTTTTCTGCAAGCAGGACTTGACGTATCTCTCGAGTTCTCGCAGCGTGGTGGGCTTCAAAGTTTCAAAGTCGATCTCGATCTCGTCGGGATTGGAGTCCCTGAGGGAGGGCTCTCGCGACTGGATGATGTGCACCACCCGGCCCAGCTTCTCCCCTGGCAGGCGGTTGATGTCCAGGCTGAGCTGGCGCTTCTCATCGTAGGTCATGGGGATGCCCTCCTCCTCCTCCTCCGAGTCGAAGGTGGCCGAGGCCTGCTTCCCGGCCTTCTTGGGCTGCCTGTGGGCGGGAGAGGAGCGGTCAGGGCCTGCAAGCCCCCTCTGGTGGGGTCCAAAGAGAGAAGTGGGCAAATGGGCTCCAGGCACCCACGGGCCCCATCGGCGTTCTTCTCCCTGATGGCCCCCGGGCAGCCTTGCCCAAAGTGCCCCTCTCCTTTTGCTCCCCCCTGCTTTGGGTTGGCCAGTCACGTAACTTCTTTGGCTGGGCCCTCCCCCCTCGCCCGCCTACCACTCGAGCCCCCACCAGCCTCCCCCCGTCCCAGAGGACGTCCCCACCTGTTAACGGGAACTGTGCTGTTGGCCTTCTTGGCGGGGGCTTTCTTCTGCTGGGGGGCTTTTGCTGGGGGGGGCACCTTGGCTTTCTTCTCCTCCTCGGCTTTTGCCTTGTGCTTCTCTTTCTCCTTCTCCTTTTTTTTCTTCTCCTTCTCTTTTTTCTCCTTCTTCTTCTTTGGCTTGTTGACTGGTGCTTGCGAGAGGGCAGCCAGCTGCTCGTGGACGGCCTTCAGCTGAGAGAGAAGCCAAGGAGAAAAGCTCAGCCGACCACTGGCGCCCTCCGACCCTCTCAACCCGGGCCAAAGTCTGGAACCTGGCAAGAGGATGGGGAAAGCAGGCCAGCCCACTCAGGGCCCTGGAAGGTTCGTGGGAACAGCAGCTCCCAGCCTTCCAGGCCTGGTGCCTCACCTCATCCCCAGACCAGGCTGCCAGGGGCAGGCACAAGCAGCTCCCTTAACACGCTGCGTGCATAAGGCTTTCCCGCTGGGTCACAGCGTGGCCCACTTGCTGGAGCATCGCATGGGAGGCGGACGCTACAGTGGCACCTTTTGTAAACCTGAGTTGGACTAACCCCACAGGATGTGAGCCAAGAGGCAAGCGGGAGGCCCGGAAAAGTTGGTTTCCTTTCCTTTATTTTCAAGAGGTTCTTGACAGCTTGTACCTAGATTTGCTGTTTTTGAGCTGTTGTGAGACGCCCAGAGTCACTTAGGCGATATAGGCGGCCATACAAAATCAAATCTTAAATCAATAAATTTAAGCAAATTAAAATCCAATCTATCTGAAAAGGATCCTCCGGCCATGGCCGGCCCAGGATGCCTGCAGCACACAGAGGCAACCCCTCCCCCCAGGAGATGCCCACTTCACAGCTGGCAGAGAGCAGAAGGCCTTTGCTCCCTGGAGCCTCCTCCTCCTCCTTCACCCAGAGAGGAAGGGGAAAGGCAGAGGCCATGGGGAGGGAGAGGCCTCCGTCTGGGAGGAGGGACCTGGCCTTCCAAGGGAGCGCAGGGCCACTGACCCCACCATCTGGGGCAGAGGATCCAGCATGGGCCCCTGTGCTCGGCATCTGTGATTAAAGGGACCCAGGTTCAGATCCTTGTTTAGCAGGGATTCTCCCCAGCAGCTTTGCTCTACCTGACTGGGCTACATGCAGATGCCACGGTACTTGCAAACCCTCTTGGGGCTTCTGCCCTTCCCCCCCACCCCAGCAACAGCTCTTCAGCACACACACCCCAAAACCTCAATAAAAATCCAGCCTCAAAATTGGCAGGCACCGTCTCTGTTAGAGTCCTCTATTCCTTTGCTTTGCTTCGAATTCAGCCCAACTCTAAAGTCAGGATGGAAGAGAAGCTGAGGAATGAAACGGGCTGCTACAGACCGTATATCAGGGGTGTCAAACTCAAGGCGGTGTGTGTGTGTGTGTGTGTGCTTAGATCTGGTCCACAGGGCTGCCTGTCAACTGCGGAAGATGGGCCTGTGGTGCCCCTGCCAGTGAAAGCCTGTGGTCCTCCTGGGCCGTTTTTGACAGCGACAGCCTCCGATGGCCCTCTGCCAGCACAAAAGTAGCTGGGGGGGGGGGAGGGCTGCAGCATCCCCAGAGCTCCTTTTCTCTGGCAGAGGAGCCAAAAGTGGAGTCTGGGGGGCTATCAAAACAAACTGAAAATAAAACAAAAGGAGAAATGTTTCCCTTTTGCATTTGAGCAGGCAAGAAGGGACAGGAAAGGAGAAAGGGAAAGAGGGAAGACGAAGAAAGGAAGATGAGAAAGAGGGGAAGGAAGAAGGAAGGAGGATGAAGAGGGAAGGAAGGGAGTGAAGGTCACATGGGCCACCACAGGTGCCCCTGACACAAGTCACATTGAGCTGACCATCCCCACTTTGGCCACACACACACACCCAGCCCGCCCCCCTTCGAGGTCAAACGCAACCCTGATGCAGCCCTGAATGAAATAGAGTTTGACACGCCTGCTGCATATGAATGGTTCAAACAAAGACAAGGCAGTTCTGAGGCACCAGGGAGAAAAGTGTCACTAAGTTTATTCCCCATATTCATGAGGACTAGACACTTGTTCACTGAAAACTAAAGCAAATTCTCAGAAAATCTGGTGCAACCTGAAGGGCAAAAGCAGCATTCACCCATGGGGAAGGGGGGCGCGACTGGTGGGGCCAATCCCAGCCACCACCACCCCCAAAGGAAGGCTGCAACTAGGGAGGGTCTGTCTTCGTGACCCCTTCCCGGAAGGTCCAGGGATTGTTTGCTCTCCTGCGGGGCAAAGAAGAACCCCAGCTGCCCTGAGCAGCCCACGAGAGACTTCCCTGGTCTGGCAGTTTTTACAGACCCCACAGCTGGCCCATCCCGTGGGGGCACTTCCAAGGCACAGCCCTGCAGGGGCATCCCGGCGGGATTCCACAAGGAGCAGCTGGCAGGGCAGGAAGTGAATAGGCATGGGGCCGCCCCTCCCCCCCCCCGCTTGTCTTCCATCTGCCCCCCAAGCCCTCCTGGGCAGCCCCCTCAAGGCAGCGACTGCCTGCTGGGAGGAAGCGTTTCTGAACAGGCCTCGAGGACTGTACGTATCCACACACAATACAGGAAAGGGGGAAGCACTTTATAAAAGTGGGGGGGGGGAAAGGGGGAAAAAAATAAACAAATACATTCCATCCATTCCAGTCTCGGGAGTCAATGACCTTGTAGCACTGCCTCAATGATCGGGAACAGTCCTGTGTGAACAAGAAGACAGGCAGGGAAGCAAATCGGGTGTCCACACCGCACCCTGAGTCGGGGGGAGGGGGGAGGAGAGCCCCAGAACCACACTCTGGTTCTTGCGGAGGCCTGGGTCACTTTGGGCCCTTGGTCTCAAGGGCCAAGTTTCTAGACCTCACTGCTGTGACCGATGTATGAAAAAGGAGGGCGGTTCCTTTTCTACCACCGGTCACAGAGCAGGCACGGAGTTCTTGTGCACCACCACCAAGGCGCCCGGTGGACCTCTGGGAGGCGCTGTGGCCTCTATTTCTCTATGCTCACATTTTGGGCCCTGCCTTTTCCGACTGCCTCAACGTCCTTCTTAGCGACCGGGGGTTTGATAAAGGAAGCGGGTCTTTCTGAGCAGCCCAGAGAACCCTCGAGTCTCTGCAGGGCTCCCGTCGAGGCTCCCCGCACCTCCGGTGGCTTCCGGGACCAGACGAGGCCCCTTCGCGAGCGGCCGAGCCCCGAACCGCTCCCCAAACTGCCACTCACCTGCTCCTGCAGCTCTGCCAGCCGTGTGGCCCGCTCCTCCTCCGAGTCCGAGCTATCCGAGCTGTCTGAGGAGCTCCCCCCGCTGCTGTGGCTGCTCTCCGTGCTCTTGCTGACCACAGGGGCGGTGGGCAGAGGGGGAGGTGGGGGGTCGGCGGGCTCGTCCGGCATCTTGGCAAATCGCATCTCAAAGACGTCCTGCGGGAAGAGCCACTTTGGAGAGGAGGGCAAAGATGCCCCCAGAGCAGGCAGCTGCCCCAAAAGAGGCACCCCCGCCCCGCCCCACAGTGGGGCTGACTGGAGGAGGAAGAGGCCAAAGGGCAGATGGGGGCTCTTCAGATGCCATGACCCCCATCAGAACTGCCATCTAGCCTCGGAAATGAGAGGTGGGCAGGAACCCCTGGGAGATGCAGCCCCCACCCACATCTCCTCACACTGAAGACCAGCCCCGGTGATGATTTACTCCAGGGTGGAGGGAAAGAGCAGCTAGTCTCCCTTGTGAGAACTGCCTGTCGGGCATTGTGAATGTTCTGTGATGTTGTGCAACACAACAACAAGCCTTGTTATGAGCCTCTGGGATGCAAGGAGCAAGAGGTGGCCATAGCCGTCAGAGGCCGAGCACCCATCCCAGACTCAAGCAGGGGCAACCAGGGGCAACCCTAAGGCGGCAGGAGAGGCCTGGAGACTTAAAGCCAAGAAGGAGGTGGCCTGCTGCATCTCTGCTGGAGTCCCACCGGCTCTGGACCGGCCTCCTTGCAAACGGCACCACAACCGTCCAAATCGGACCACACAAGCCCTTCACTGAGCCCACAGACCCACTGCAGCTGACGGAGGATGTTTTGCTTCAATCTAGCCTCCCCCCTCTTTTTTTCATCCTGGCAGCCCCCCCCCCCTTACCTGCAGCTTCCTAGCCATGGCCACCACCTCATGGTCAGGCGGATTGTACTTGTAACAATTGGAGAACATTAACCGGATGTCCGCTGCGAAGCCTTGGGCGTCTTGATATTCCCGACTGTCCATTTTTTTCTGCAGGGGAGCCCAGAAAGGGGACAGGATTAGAGGGGGAAACCCCTCCCGCAGTGAGCAGAAAAATGCCCCTGAAGCCCTGCTGGTCACCTGCCCCCCTTCCTACCCTTAAAGCCCCTTCAGAAGCCACAGGCAGAGCAGCTGGATTTGGGGGTGCAAAGCGATAAATGACTGAACTCAGCCAGTGGGGGGTTGGGGGGGAAGGTGTCCCTTTGGAGAGAAGAGACTCATCCTGAAAGAGGGCAGGGCGTGGGGGGGGGGGGAGGGGGGGGGGGATGTTCCGCCTTCCCTGCAGGCAGAAGACCCCGCTGGCATTTGCCACTCGGGCGGGGGGAAGCGGGGACTGCCTTGGGAAGTCCTGTGAGACAAGAGCCACAAAGGGCTCAACTCTGCCACCTGCACCCTGGTCGCCTCCTCAGGATGGATTACTGTCACACCTGGCAGGGCTGCCACTGAGAAGCATCCGGGATGCAGCTGGTGCAAAATGGGGGGTGAGCGCAGTTACGTGCACCCCAAGATCAGCACATGCTGCCCTTCTGTTCCTCAAACTACCTTGGTTGCCAGTTGGCTTCTGGGTTCAATGCAGGGCGCTGGGCATGACCTCCGAAGCGCCCCCTGTGCTGGGCCAGGCGATCTGAGGGGCGGCTGAGGCTTCCCCACCCCGTCAGCCCAAGAGGGGCCCCATCAGGCAGGACCCCGGAGAAGAGCTTTGTCTGCTACAGCAGAGACTCCCAGGAAGTGAGGCTGGGCCCATCCCCACTGGCCTTTTGGGGAGGCGCAGAGCCCCAGGAGCTGCTGCTGCTGGTGCTCTCCCTCACTACGACTTTGTCTTCAATTGTTTTCCACTTTACTTACGCAACCTTGTTTCCTGTGGTTTCCTTTTGTCCTATGGGTGAGTTGGGCGTATAAATTCAGATCAATAAAGAAAGCCACAGCAGATAGCCCAACTGGGGGGTTTCCTCCCAAGCTGCCAGGGTAGGTAAGGCAGCCCCACTTCCACGCTCTCCTGGCCCTGGAGGAAGGGGGGGGCAGAGAGGAGCTGCCGAGGGGCTCCGAGGGCAGCCCTGGTCTCAGGGCTGGCAGGTCAGAGCAGGGCTCCTTCCCTCTTCTGGGCCTTTACCCAGCCGCTGTTGCCTCCAGGGTTTTGGGGTCTCCTCCGCAGAGGGACAGAGCGGAGGCTGCTTGGAAGCCGCTACGGCTTCCTGGCCAGATGGGCCGATCCAACTAGCTGGGGTCCCACATTGCTTCTGTTTTTTCTCTCGGGCGGTCACCTGGAGCTGGGGGACGTTACCATCCCTCCAGTGCCACGGACGGATCATGTCCTGGTAGCCCTGGAGGCCTCTGGGGCTGTCCCCCCCCCGCCCCCTGCAGGGAGGTAGGGGCCAGTCAGCCCAGAGGACTCAAGAGGGAACTTGTTGGTCTTCCTCCTGGTTGGTCCGAGACTGGAAGAAGCAGGGATTGAGGAGGGCTTGTGCAGGTTCTCAGCTCCGGGGAAGGAAAGAGTGGGAGAAGGCAACTAGGCCAGGAGATTCTCCCCTTGTAACCATTTCTCTCATGGCTCTTCAAAGTCTGAAAAGAGCCACTCACCAGCTCCTCACACTCCCAACCTTCCTTGGAGTCACGTGTCCCAATTCAGCCTCTTGGCCACTAACAAGGACTTATAAGTGGTTGTAAGACTCCTGGGATCATGTGACTGACTTCCAAGCAGAAATGTCAACGGGGGAAGCCAGAATGGCTTAATGGTCGCATGGTTTACCTAACAATCATTTGCTTAATGGCCAAGGCAAAAAGGTTGTAAAATTGGACATACTTGAAGACTGTCTCACTTAGTGACAGAATTTCCAGTCCCAACTGCGATCGTAAGTAGAGGACTACTGTATCCGGCTAGTCCTGTGGGCAGGGACCAGGGCTCCAGCAGCAGCACCTACCACAGGTAGGAAGGGGGATCCCCTGCTGGGCCAGGCTCCACCTGTGGGTCAAGCAGGGGGGAAGCCAAGAGGGGACCTACTTTGACGGTGCTGAGGTCCATGGGGTGCTTGATGATGTCGTGGTAGTCGTGCAGCTCCAGGGCTTCGGCGTCCACCGGCTTGTAGAAGGGCCAGGCGTAGGCCGCGTGCTTCTTGGACAGCATCTCCTTCAGGATGCTGTCGCAGTACTTGAGGTGCTCCGAGAGCTTGCCCTTCTTGCCCGCGTGCTGGGGCACCTCCCCGTCTTCCAGGTCCTTCTTTGGCGGTTTGATGGGCCGGCCACCGCTCTCCCGCCGAGCCACCACTTTGGCCTGCTTGGAGTCCAACAGCTGCGGAGGGGATTCACTCCGGCTGGCTGTGATGGCTGACGTGGTGGGCGTGGTGGTGTCTGCTTTCCGCTTCACCCCCTTTTTCTGAAATTAAAGCACAGCCCATAAGGAAGGGGCAGGTGGAGAGGAGCCCCCTCCCCAGAAGGTGGGTCAGGAGGAACTTGGGGGGGGGGCAGAAAGATGGCAGCGTTTCTCTGGCCTGAGACCAGAAACAGGCCAACCTCTGCAAGGCAGGGGTACCGGGAGCGGGCCCCCAGCCCCACCCCTTCCCTGGGGGAGAAGTGTATGTGCAGAGAGGGGAGGCCCCCATTACCTTGACGATGGGCGGTGTTGGGGGAACGACTGCCATGATTGGGGCGGCAGGAGGCGGGGGAGGAAGCACGGGTGTCGCAGGGGGGGCAGTGATGGGGGTGACATTCGCAGTGATGGTTGGCACAGGGGTGACGGCAATTACGGGCGTCTGAGATACCGACGGAGGGACGCTCTGGAAAGGCGCCGGGGAGGATGCGGAGGAGACGGCCGTGGCTGCTGGGTGCTGGGTTCCTGCCGGAAGGAAAGCAAGGACGTCGAGAGGAAGGCTGAGCAGTTCCAGCTTTTCCTTTGCTGAAGAAATCATAGCATGGGAATCCCCCCCCCACCCAAATTCTGTAAAATTGTGTTATATTCTGTATGCTTAAAAAAATTAAAAACAGAAAAATACCAATACAAAAAGTGGAATGAAAAGTAAAGCAATGGTAAAAACGCCATGAAGAATTCAATGACTCACCAGCTGATGCGGAAGCCAACAAGTTTAGGCTCAAAAATACACTCCCAAAATTGGGATACTCTTTTAAAAATAGCCACACATATGGATAAGTTGAACCAAAATGCCATAAGCAATGTGCCACCCCATGGATATGCCCCCGGGTAAAAATTTAAAACGGAATCTGTTCTGTAAAACAACATTTACTGATACAAAATATGAAAACAATTGAAGTTCTTCAGAATGCATTGAAAACAACAAATTCTAAGGAACGGTTTATCTGGAGGTAGCACATTTTTTACAGTATTTTCGTTAAAAATTTGGGAGTTTATCTGTGAGCATATACAGAACTAACATTTATGCTCTAGTTTTAATATTTAATACCAAGCATTAGAAAGTTTTACTTGTACTATTTAATATTAAACATCAGAATTTTTTTATTATAGTTAACTAATTTCATCTCTTTTTAATTAATCTGTCTCTACATTACTCACATTCTTGATAAGTAGATAGTTCCTCATTTTACATTAATACAACTTATCACTAACACCCAAAACTATTTATATTCATCAGAGAAAATGTTCTAAATTTTTAGGATTCTTTTAATATCTTTATGAAAAGTAGATTACTACATCTAATTTTTTAAAGAAATGTGATGGGTAACTTGGAGTTATGCATATGACTACAGCATTTTGTAGATAAAGTCTGCTTTTATAACCATGCTATTAACTAGTAATGATCAAACTTTGTCTTAATTATTGTACTTTATTTTCCAAGTATTTTGTAAAAGTTCAGGCAGGTGGAATTAAGTACATCATCAGCTTAGAGTCGCTGTGTTGCCACAAGTACTCCTCCTGGATTCCACTGACTCTTATCTAGTGCCAATTTAGTGTTGAATTTTAGCTGATCTTGTCTATGGGCCTGAATAAATCTTCTATGCTGCAACCTTACTGAATGGTCCTGATTCTTTGAACAGGACATCAATCCGCTTAACTTTGCCTCCCAGCTCTACCTGCTCTCCTTCTACATATTTCTTTCAAAATTAATGACTATATAGCAGGCAGTACGTTCGATTTCCTTTTCATAATGCAATAATGAACATATACCACAATCTTAAGATTAATGGGCTCTACTAGGAGCTGTCTGGTGGAGTGGTTAGAATGAAGTATTGCAGGCTAATTCTGCTGACTGCCAGCCACTCGATTTTGACCAGCTCAAGGTTGACTCAGACTTCCATCCTTCCGGGGTGGGTAAAACAAGGATGCAGATGATTGGGGGAAAAGGGCTGACCCTGAAAACCGCTTAGGCAGGACTGTGAAGCAATGTGATGTGGTATATAAGTCTAAGCGCTATTGCTGTTGATAGTAGAGTACAAACCGAAAAAAACTTTATGTATGTATGTATTATGTATGGCTGGCATGTATACATATATACGTACATAATACATACATACATACATACATGCATCCATAAAGTTTTTTTCGGTTTGTACTCTACTATCAACAGCAATAGCGCTTAGACTTATATA